GTACGGGAGATTGGGGGTGTCCCGGCCGGGACGGGTGTCCTTGCAGCCAGGGGACCCTGTGCCCAGCCCCCTGCCCCTGCAGCCCCCTGCCCCCAGTCCCCTCCTCCCACTGCCCCCACCAGCCTCTCACTCCTCCAGCAGTTACAAATCTCCTAATTTCCAGCCTCAATTTATTCATGACCAGTTTATACCCATTTGTTTATGTGCCAGCCCTGTTCTTCAGCTTAAATAGCTCTTTTCCATCCATAATATCCACCCCCCACCCCCCCGTATTTCAGCAAGCGCAATCATATCTCTTTTCAAGCTGTTCAGGAAAGAAAAATCTGAATTATTTAACCCTTGGGACACTGGCTGGGCTTGCAGGCTGTAGCCAGAGAGAAACGTGCTTTGTTCCTGCTCCGGGTCACTGCCCTTCTTGGGGAATTTCGGGGGGAGCTGCTGCTACCTGGAGGGGAAACTGAGGCACCGGCGACAATGAGAGGGGAACGGGACCAGGGTTGGGGTCTCGTGACACCCAGACCTGGGGCCGGGAGAGCTGCAGGGGTTTGGCATGGCCAGGGTTTGTTCTCCTGGGGTCTCAGTTGCCTCCTCCATGTGAGTTTGCCAGGCAGGCTCTCCAAAGGGTTTTCCCCTCCGTGGTGAATATCCAGGAGGTGAGAACTTGGGCAGCCAACGGGCCCTGGCCAGTGCTGGGACACGTGTGGGAGGAGGGGAGGGTAGGGGAGCTGCCTCATGAGTACGGGATCTTATTCCAGGGAATCCAAAAGATATTTTATTCCAGGGAACCCAAGGGTTTCCCACTCTTCTCATGTAAAGAGGCAGGCACAGGATGGCACTGGGGAAGTTACCAATTAACTCAGACCAAACTGGAGAGTGGGGCGGCTGCCGGTGGTGCCAGGCTTGGGGGGTCCTGGTGCTGGTGCCCATGGTGCTGGGGTACCTGTGCCCCCCTGCATGGGCAGCCCTGGTGCTGGCACCAGCCCCATTCCGTGGCACCAACCTGAGGTGGCTGCTCTGGGCTCACACATGCAGCAGCAGCGTTTGGTGGAGCCTCCAGGAGGGGAATATTTGATCAGGCAGAGATGGAATATTTCTAGGAGGGGGTGAATCAGCAGAGGGAAACAGGGACAGAGATGGAGATTTGCCAGCAAGGAAAAGCCAGGGCAGAGCCAAGGCAAAGTCACCTGGCACCTGGGGACATGTGGCTCCAGGGGTGGCAGTGCCAAACAAGGGGTCTGGGGTCACTCCTGGTGCTCAAGAGGATGCAGGAGGGTCTGGGCTGTGGACAGGGTTGAGATGGGATTGGGGACAAGGACAGGGCACTTCTGCTGCAGCCCAGTGTGCTGAGAGCCACCGTCCCTCAGCCAGTCCCAGGTGGGCATGTGCAGGACCCTGGGAGCCTGTCCCATGCTCAGTGGGGCTGGGGCCAGCCCAGGACCTGCTGCAGGCTTGAGGTGCCCCATGCAGGGATCCCCATGGCTTCCCTGCACCCACCACCCCCTCAGCAGAGGGTGACCCTCCTCCCCATCAGTGCCATTTGTCACAGCTAATCAGCTTTAATTCAGCAATTTGTCAGTCTGGGGAAGGCCCAGGCACTTAGTTGATTTTTTTTCTCCCCCCAAAATATAATTATTATTGTTATTATTCCCCCTATCAGCACGAGCCCTCCTGCTACAGTTGCCTTTTTACTAACCATCATTAAAATAAATAATTCTTTTTTTTAAATAAAAGGCAGAGAGAAGAGGCTTTTTGTAATGTTTTTGGTATTGTTTTGTGTGCGTTTGAAAATTGTTTCTCAGTAAATCCTGGCCCTTTGTGTTAATTTCCCCTTGTGCAGCATTACCTTGCCAGGGGCAGGGTTGGCACAACTGACTGGGGGAAGGAGAGAGAAGGAGAGAGAGAAAAGCCCTTCTCCTTAATGAGCACCGGGCCCCGGGGGAGCCGAGTAATGAGCTGGATGGGGGCTGGTGGCCACCATCCCCCCCCCCGCCTCCCATCCCTGGGCTCTCCTTCCCTTTTTGGGGTGCGTTTGGGTCACCCCTCACCACTGCCAGCCCTTTGCTGCCACCCCTGTGTCCCCTTCAGCGCTCGGCTGCCCCAGGGTGTGATGAGTTTGAGCCAGTCTCAGCCCCACTCGCAGCTGCTGGAGGATCAGACAGGGCAGGGGGTGTCCAAGAGCCCCCGGGATTCTGCTTTGGGGTGGCTGGGGGGCCCGTGGCCCCCGTCCCCATCCCACCCAGGCCTGTGCTGGACCACCCTGGGGCCAAGCCACAGGGATGCACAGTGCTGCTCCTTGGGGTATGGGGGCTGAGGGGTGTCCTTGGCCAGGCCAGAGCAGGGGACACACAATGTGGGAGCTTTTAGTTAATTAGCAAAGAGAACGGGCTCAGCCAGGCTGCCTGGGTGGCTCTCGGGGAGCCAGGGAGTTTGGCGAGAACTTCATCGGCTGCAGCACTGGGGGTTTGCAGTGTCCCCTGTGGGAACAGTCAGGGGACAGGGGGGATGTGGCTGCTGGTGTGCACTGCGGGTTCTCCAGCGCTGGTAATCCCTTAATCTCTCAGATAATTAGTGCCAGAAACACAAATTACGCCGGGAATAACACGGGTTTTGTGGCTCAGTGGTGCTGGTTTATCGAGCGTAAACCCCAGAGGCTCTGGGTTTATGTCAGAGGTTACTGGGGGTGTTGGGGTGGGCCAGAGGGGTCCTGCGGAGGGGAGGGGGAGCAAGACTGGGCTGGGCTGGACCTGGGTCATAGTCCAACCAGGGTTTTGGCTGTGGCATCATATGGGGAGATACGGTGAAATATGGGGGATGTGACACTCGGTTTCTCCCGCAGGTTCCAGCGCGGGGACTACACGGTGGAGGTGAGCATCAACGACTACCTGGACATCTACTGCCCGCACTACGAGGAGCCGCTGCCCGAGCGCATGGAGCGCTACGTGCTCTACATGGTCAACTACGAGGGCCACGTCTCCTGCGACCACCGGCAGCGCGGCTTCAAGCGCTGGGAGTGCAACCGGCCCGACTCCCCCAACGGGCCCCTCAAGTTCTCCGAGAAGTTCCAGCTCTTCACCCCCTTCTCACTGGGCTTTGAGTTCCGGGTGCCCCAAGCCCCTGCAGAGCCCCCCAGCCCCAGCTGTGCCCCAGCTGTGCCGGCAGCTCCAGCTCCAGGCGACCATCCCAGCTGGCACACCCAGGGCTGGGTCGTGGCCGTGGGCACAGGGTGGCCACGAGGGTGACCAGGGCTTTCCAGGGACTGCAGTGGCCTCGTGTGCTTCTGTGTATTCTTGAGCCCTCCCATGTATTCCCATGTGCTCCTGTGTGTTTCTGCATGCTCCTGTGCATCCCTGAGCTCTTGCCATGTGTTCCTGCACATTCCTGTGTGTTCCTGCACACTCCCCCACACTCCTGCGTTATTCCCACATGCTCCTGTGCATTCCTGGCTCTCCTGGGGCTCCACTACCCTCTCCCTGCCCATCAGCTGAAGGCCAAATGGAGCCCCTCTGCTTTCCCCCACACCAGCTCCAGGAGAAACGTCTCTCCCAGCACCCAGTGCTGGATGCAGGGTCAGATCCCATGGGATAGGACAGATCAGGCCCCTCCATAAATTTCCTCCTCCAGCACAGGCAGGCAGAGGGGCCAGGGCAGGGGAGGGGGGAGAGGAGCCAGCCCGGCTGCCTCGGGAGCCTGGAGCCGTGGAAAAATAAGTTAATGGGGCTCGGAGCAGGCGCTGGGAGCCTGGTAACCAGAAAAGGGTAAAAAGCCACTCAAAACAAACGAGCAAGGGTGACCCCGAGCGCTGCGGGTGCCACAGGGAGCCGGGGCCCCGCGCAGGACCAGCCACATGCTCATCTGCCTTAGTATTTCTCCCCCTTTTTCCTAAAGCATCTGTTTTCAGCCCACTTAATTTGTTCCTTTTATCTATATTAAATTACCATTTCCCCCCCCTTTCTCCCTCTCCCCCTGCAAAATCTAACTGGCAGAATAACCTCCCCGACAGCTCCTTCTTCCCCCCCCGCCCCGTCTTATTTTATATATTTTTTTTTATTATTTTTTAATGTCGTTAGGGAGAGATTACACAGAAGTAAATGGTGAAGCTGATCATTGCTAAACCGGTTAGAATTCCCGTCATGCGGAACATTAGAAATTATGCCTCTTTGAGGCACCGTATTTAGCAGACATGAAAGAAAAGAAATTACCTCCTCCTCGAGCTGGCAAATTGGAATGTCATTAACCCCGCGGGCACGGGGACAGCGGCTGCCGCGCCGGGGCAAGGGCACCCGCCGCCCGGGGGGCTGCCCGGGGTGGGGCTGCCAGGGGATGGCCAGGGTGGCTTGGGATGGCTTGGCTTGGCATGGCATGGCATGGCATGGCATGGCACAGCCTGGTGTGTTATGGCACAGCACATCTTGGCATGGCATGTTATGGCTCAGCACGGCCCATCATGGCACAACGTGGCATTAGCACGTCGTGGCATGGGATGGCATGGTATGGCACAGCATGGCATGGCATGGCATCCCAGCTGGGCCGTGGGGGGGGTCCTTGTCCCAAGCTGGGCTCTGCTCAACGCCCATGGGGGTTTCAAGTTGCTGCCCCCCAACTCCTAACCCCCCCTCTCTTGTGCTTCTCCGCAGCCGCGTCCCCCCCGAACGTGGTGGACAAGCCCTGCCTGAAGCTGAAGGTTTATGTTCGGCCAACAAGTGAGTGATGGGGAGTGATGGGGCACATGGAGGGGGGCAGTCCTACCCCATGGGGCAAGGGAGGTGCTCCTGGTGACCCCAGATGAGCTGAGGGGGCTGTGGAGGGAGTGGTCCTGCCCCATGGAGTGTGGTGGACGCTCCCAGTGGTTCCCTGGGGGGAGCAATCCTGCCCCATGGGCTGCTGGTGGTCCTGGGTGACCATGGAGGGGGACAGGGTGTCCCATGTCCCACCTTGGGGCCACCCCAATGGGGACGGTGCCTGCAGCCAGTGCTGGGGGGGGTCCCAGTGGTGTCTGGGTCCCTCTGGGCGCTGCCAGGGACGTTTGCTGCTGAGTTTCAGATAGGAACAAAAAAATTATTAATAATAATAATCCCTGCACAGTGGCTACTTTTCGGAATCAAATAACTCAGCCATTTAAAAAAACAAATTAATAATTTTCTTCTCCTGTTAACGTGTAATTAGCAAATGGCAGCAGCTCTCCCTGGGGAAGGGCTGAGTGCTGGTGAAATGTCACCATTTAAAAGGATGTCTTTCTTTTTTTTTATTTGCATGGCTGTAAAATAAAACCCAATATAATGAAACCATCTGTAAAAAATCATTCTGTTTTGTGCAGGACTAGGGTACAATAGGAGGGGGGTGGAAATCCTCTCCTGAGACCTTTTTCCAGTGTTTCAATGACTGGGATGCTGCTCGGGCAGTGCCTGGGGCAGAGCAGGAGCTGCCCTGGTGTGGCTGGGGGGGGGAGGG